GCTTTCTGATGGTGGTGAATATTTTAATTTGCATTTAGTTTCAACTATCAAAAACAGATTGCACGAAATGTTGTTCCGAGTTGAAATTTTGCTTGGCCTTTTTAAAAGTGCCATTGATGTCATCCTTGGGGTTGTGCAGTTAGCCTTTCTAGATTTTAAGCTCTGTCCATTATCATCCACAAGAAAATGACGAAGTTCATTATTATATATTCCCTCTTCCCTAAGAGAATGACAAAATTACCTTTAAGAAAAGGTTAAACTGATAAATATCTGCCCTAGTTTTTGACATTTATTAATTTATCTTTAGAAATAAAACTTGCAGATCCAGAAACTACATGGAAAGTTACTACTAACAGTAATGATTGGGCTAAAAATCACATTTAAAAAGTTGTTGTCAAAGAAGTTTTTCTTTGACTTCACTATGATACAGTATAAAAAATCAAAGTCGTTTTCCTGATACATTAATTGTGCTTTCGATGTTCACGTGGTGCTGTTTACCCAGAATTTTATGGTTATAAGCACTTTCTCTCGTCTAAAGCAATGCTTAAAAGGTTCAAATCTTTTCTTGCCATAGACCATAGTTTGTCAGAGGGGTTGTAATTGAAAACTGGGGATATCTTATTTATTTGGACTCCATGAGTTTTTGGCAACGATGGGAATGTCCTCTCGAGTTTCTACCATCATAGAAACACCTATTATTAATGAGATTAACTTGCTTATCTTAGCAAGTCACTTGAACACCCTTGGCCAAAATCTTATCATCATTAAACTGGTCCAGTATGTTACTGGATGACCACATAATATCTTCGTTTTCTTTCATCTATTTTCTTTTTCTGTCTTATTAAGAAATACAGGTTTATTTAACTACCCGCACAAGGGAGAGAGATCTGTAACCTCATTTGTGTGGCACTTTATTTTGGTCGTTCAGAAATGCCTCTATTTAAAATATTATTCTATGTAACTTTGAACTTTCTAAAATTCAAGTTAAAACTTTTATTTATGTTTCTCTATTGAACTATTTTTCTTACTGTTTATTTTGGTTTTATGAAGGTCTGATAATATCTTGGTGATGTTAGAAGTAAACCGGCATAAACAGTTTACTGGTTTAGTTAGTATACTCGATAGAGACTAAGCTATTTTAAATATGAGAATAAAAAAACAGTGATCAAGTTGAGTTTTTTTCAATTAGGATTTAAGCTTTGCCGTTTTTGGATTTTTTCGTTATATCTGGCACCAAATTTTCTTTTATGCACACTAATGTGACTTTGAAATAAAATCTTGGCAGAGAAATTGAAAAGTTGAAGCTCTCAGAAATGACGTGTCGGCAAGGGGTAATTGAGGTAGCCAAAATGTAAGTAACTGTTCTCATTGAGTCATTGAACTTTACAATTTGATTCATGCTAATATTTTATTGCTGAAATTTTTGTTGAAATCTGACCTGATGCACATGCAAGTTCTATTTTTGAGTAGTCACTAGATGTTCTGCGCATAGTTTGTAGATGTTCTATGTTGACATTGAGAACTGCCTGCAAATCAATTTATATATAACATGTTCCAGTTCTCTCAACCTTTGGTTAGTTCAATATTTTTCGGGCAGTCAATCAGACTCTTGTAATATGTGAACTGGTTTTAACTATGCGTAAAGGGATGTTAGTATCATCACTTGCATTTGGAAACACCAAGTTTAGTTCTTTATGAAGTGGTAAGCCTATGCTTTTATCTATAGGTTGCAAGAATGGAAGCATCAGTTATTAGTTTTTTTCCCCAGAAATTTAAGGGTTTCAAATTCATTTAGTTGGTGCTGCATGCTTTTATTGTTCAGCTTTTTGACAATATGCTTTATCTGGAACTAGAATATACGGAGTACATGATGAGGCAAAGGACAAGGCATTTGAACTGGAAATGAGTTGGGTGTGTGATGAGTCTAACCGACAGCATCAGAAGGTGATTCACTATCCTTCCGAGGACACTTTTAATAGGAACTGATATCTTTGTGTTAAATGCTAATGTTGACTCGACATTTTCTTGATTTTTTGCCTGCACCTGTCACAGAAGCAAAAACAAAGATATTAAAGCAAATGACATTTTTAGCTTATTTATTACTTTTGTAATTTTCCATCATACTTTTATTTTGTCTGCATGCAATGTATATCATAATGGTGAATGAATGTAATTGATGTTAACTGAAATAAAAATCTGGTTGGTAACTCGTGCTGCTATTTAATGTTGCCATAGGTTCCTGCCGATTTGTTAGAGGAAGCCAAGGCTGCGGCTAAAGCTGCACTTGAAGAGATGGATGCAGATTAGTGGCACAAAAACACTTTGTTCCTTATTTTATTCATGCACCTACCTTTTATCGGCTGAGTCAAATAGTCTTGCTCTGCCGTGTTTGGAATTTGGCACCTGTATGATGATTACTTTTAGTGATGAAAGAGATTTGTTATTCCCTTAAACTGTAATCTCATAACTTTCTAAGATCAAGAGGATAGGTTGCATTCTCATATGGGGAATTCTCGTTTTTAGCAGTTTTTAACTTCTAATGATAAGTTACTGTTGTCCCACATTGCAACTTTTAATTTTCTCGTCTTCTCAAGTTGAATTGCAATTTCTTTCATTCTCCGGTGGTTAGTATCTATCTTTATGAGGTGCTTCCTAAATAATAGAGGAGAAATGACCATATACAAATATATAGATATAAATTATATGCAGCAGAACATGTTTTTCATGCTCGTACAAATCAAACCAAAATACATGTCAATATATAATGTCAGCTTGATTAGATTTTCGATTGTATTTGTTTTTTTGTTTTTTCTTGATCACCAACCTGTTGAGTGTTGTCGTTGCTTATTGCCACTATTACCGATATATTGGTCTTTCGAGTTTGATAGGTCAGAAGAAAATAATTAATGGTGGCAACATGGAGTTGTTTTGTCGTCGTTGGACATAATGATATAACATGGAATTAACCATTGATAAAAGAGAGAACATGTCATTTAAAACTAAAATTAAATTGGTTCTATTTATATGTAGTACACAAAATAAAGATGAAGTTGTATATATCACCTTGATCAATGATCAGCCCTGCACCACATGGACATTCCAATTGTCTAAAAACCAAACAGTAACACTACATCAAAATAGTGCATTATACTTTACACCTAAGTTGACTGTATACTAAGCTTCTAGCTACATTGATCACTGAAAAGTATAAACAATGAGAGCTATACATAATAAGTTTGAATAAAGGGAATTTTTCATAAAGCACCATCTTTTAGGTCTAATTTGTCATTTATAGATACCCTTTGCTATATTATGTGTTATAGATACTTTTTATGTTTTTATACAATGTATTTCATGTATTTAAGCTGTTGTATTCATTAATACAACCAAAAAAATAGGCGTAAAAACTGGAATTCCAGCTAAGTTTGACATGTATTTAGCTGTATTCAAGCGGCATTAACGTTAAATACAGAAGGTTAAACTGGTTAAAAACGGAAGGAAATCAAATCACATGATATTCTCCTAATTTAACTCCACGAACTAAGGAAATTAAATCACATGATATTCTCCTAATTTAACTCCACGAACTAAGGAAATCAAATCACATGATATTCTCCTAATTTAACTCAATGAACTAAAACGATCCCTCATTAATCTGTATTTGAAAGATACATAATAAAGAGTATAGCTGAATAAAGAGAAATACATATGAATAATACAGTTGAGTAGAACTGTATACAGTTGAATACAACAAAATACAACTTAATTCATCTGAATAAAACACTTGAATACAACAAAATACAACTGAATACAGCTGAATAAAACTCTTGAATGCAACAAAATACAACTAACTTCTGCTGAATAAAATAGTTAAATACAACTGATTAAAACTGAATACAAGAGAATACGCATAACTTTTTAATACATCTAAAATATATAAATTAATGCTACTGAATACATGTGAATACAGCTGAAATATACATTCGAATACAACTGAATACAAATAGGCGATTTGGGCGATCTAGAGAGAGAAGCAGCCTGATGGCTTCGCCGGCCGGCGGCCAGCCATTAATTCCGGCTGGTCAGCCCCTTAACACATCTGCCCAACCTCCTACAACAACTACAAACAATCCCCAGCCCTCAAATCCCACAAACGAAGCAATGAATTACGCAAAAGCTGTGAACCCTACTTCGACGACCACTGCCAAGCAGAATTGAGCCGCTACAGTTGAACCAATTGCTCTTCGTCTATCAAAATCAACGAATTACACTTACCCTAGGCGATTGTAATTGTTGTTGGGCATGGCAGAAAAGAGTTAAAGAGTTCTCTTTCTTACTGCAGGTGCTTGCAGCCATTGCTGATGAGTTTGAATAAAAGCAGGTGAGTGTTTTTCCTCAGTTGTTGCAGTCTGAAAACTCCAACAAAGTGGTCAAAGACACGAATACATAATGAGTACGCTGATTCAGATTCTTTGTTTCCATCAACAAAGGAGAGAGAAAAATATTATTTAGCATATATGGTGCCTTAAATATAGGATGTAACTATAATTAGATATTTGGCTATAAAGTATAAAAGGTATCTATAGGATGTAATATTTTAAAATGGTATTTATTTAAAATAAATAGGGTACTAAGGTTTTCTATAGGGTGTAAAAATTCCTTGAATAAACATATGAAGAAAGGAAATGATTATAGTACGCGAAGCGGACATTAGGCCGTTAACGGGGACTCAATTGTTTTACTCAGATACATGTATACGCCTACAAATTCAACATAAAATTTTGAGATAATTCATCAAATCACGGAATGAAGAGATTTTACTTGTCTCCTAAACTAAATTCTACAAAACAAAACAAAAAAGGAGCAAATCTAGATTTGCCAGCATAAATTTTGACAACCTGGGAAACAATGCATCCATTGCTTTCCAGCCCAAATATTTTACTTAGCAGAAAGCAAACAGCAAGAAGAGCTTTATTATAAGCAAGAAATAGCAATGCTAGTGAACAAAAGAATAATGATTCATTGACTATTTCAACTCAACCATGGAGTTTCATAAAGTGATGAAGGATATATTCCATTTACAGATATAGAATGATTTCTTGAGCAGTGTCCTACAAGTCCATATCCGTAAGCAAAACAATCACACAGTTGAGTGCAATCTCACTAATTCCTATCTTTACAATAATAAAATTTGTAAGAAAAATACATATATGTAACAACTCAATGCCGATAACTTCAACGGTCTTCGTTCCAACGAACTGCACAAACAACTGAACAAGCAGTAGAACCTCCAGTTTGAATCTTCCATCAACAAGACAGAACCATATGCTTCATATCTTCCCATGCTGGTTTCAGCTGAGAAGTACATACAGAAACAAAGCCTTAGTTGATCTGATAACCCTTCTTCCAGTTTGAATCTTCTATCAACAAGACAGAACCTACTTCCAGCTTCATGGACTTTTCAGATACCAAAGCGACGGATTCTTCATGATTTCAGGTGAAGCACTATGATGCTCGAAGCGAAATAAACCATTTAATTTCCATTCGATCTGCTATCGCCCAATTGCCTTTCACTTCTTGCTTGAAGACGAGAGCTGTGTTCAGCAGCCAAATCTTCAACTGAGTTCTTTGACATTCCAGCGTACTGAGTGATTGAGTGGAAAGTAGCAAAAAGTACCTGTAAAGCACCAATATCTCCCCAATTAGCATTTTCAAGCTTGTTCCAGATTTTATCAGTACGGGAAATTGCAATTAAAGCATTATTTTTAATCCACTCACTATATGTGCAACGCACTATAACTACGATTAAGTTTTTTAATGGCACCTATCTTTTTAATTACCGGATCAATAAATAGAGTCTAAGTTTTTGTTGAAATCATTAGATCTAACATTTAAATTCTATAAGTTTTATTTAATGACTGAAATAAAAAAAAATTTATATAAGTTTTTGTGTGCGCAATGTGCATGCGGTTAAATTCTTTCTGTTAGATATATGTGCAACGCACTATAACTACAATTAATTCAATTTTAAGAATTAACTGAACAAAGTTAAATAAACCTAAACCACAAAAATAAGAACTTTTAAAAAATTTAAGATAAAACTTTGACATTGTTAGATAGCAGCAGTGTAACGGAATAAGAACATACCCTAAACCCCAAAGACAAGTGACACTCACAGTATAACAACATTCACTAGGATTACAAACTCCCAGACACCAAAAACAAGAAGAACAAAATGTAGATAGGGCCTACACAAAAAATCACCAAAGCCCTAAAACCATCACAACCCCTAGTTGTTGTTCACACTAGGATCTGCCTCACCTTCATCACCTTCTCCTCCGTTCCCAGACATGGATTCAGAGATCACTATAATTGGAGGGGGACCGAATTGACGCGGCGGTTCCATGGACAGATTGAACAAAGTTAACAGTGGGGGTTCCACCACAAGAAGCCTGTGAAGTACATCTTCATCATTAACGTTCACCTGATTGACCCTTCGCATAAGGTCTACAACTTCATCCCTGAGTTGCATCCAAACTCTGGTCTGGTTCTCGAACATTTATTGTAGACTTGATGGGGAGGCCATAGGTTTAGGTTTTCTGTTAATGGTGTACTCGGGTGGTGTTGAATCCATGTTAGATGTAGCTAACCATTGCAAGGAATATCGTAAATAGTTAAGTAAGTATTTTAAATAGATGCTTGCATGTAAGAGCATTTTATAGAAGGTCAATGGAGCTGTAAATTCAAATTGCTGATTTGACATTTTGGCCACAATTGTTCAATTCATTAGTAGATGAAACATAGTATGTAAGGAGTGTTTATTAAGAGTAAACTACCGTCATTTCATGCTTACAATACCCCATCAAAACAGAAAAATATGCACCTCATTCAACCAGATTGTTCTTTTGGAAGCTGTAACTTGGAAGTAATAAATTGTTTGTTGTTCGAACCTATTCCCCTAATGTAAGAAATATTCTAGAGACAAATGCCATGTAAGAATCATTCAATATTTAGAGTAAACTGCCGTCAATTCATGCTTATAAATACCCTATCAAAACAGAAAAATAGGCAGCTCATTCTTTTTGAAGATGTTAGTTGGAACTAATAAATTGTTTGTTGTTCGAACCTATTCCCCTAATGTAAGAAACATTCATAGAGCCAAACGCCAAGTAAAAATCATTCAAACGCCATGCAAATGCAATTACAACAACCAAGGACAATAAAAGAAAAAAAATATAATGTTAAAGTATAGAAGGAAAGACTCATTTGAATTTGAGATGAGAAAATATTGATGGATCATGGTTAGAAAACGTCGTAAAATGAATAATACCATGTAACTGAAATCTCGATTGATTAAGTTAAAAACAAAAATATTTAATAGTGAAAGAATTTCAAACAGTTGTAGAGCTTATGCGAAGTGTCAATCAGTTGAACGTCAATGACGAAGATGTACTTCACAGGCTTCTTGTGGAGGAACCCCCAATGTTAACTTTGTAGAATCTGTCCATGGAACCACCGCGTCAATTAGGTCCCCCTCCTATTATAGTGATCTCTGAATCCACGTCTGGGAACGGAGGAGAAAGTGATGAAGGTGAGGCAGATCCTAGTGAGAACAACAACTAGGGGTTGTGGTGGTTTTAGGGTTTTGGTGATTTTTTGTGTAGGCCTATCTATGTTCGCATTGTTGTTCTACTAGTTTCTTGTTTTTGGTGTCTGGGTGTTTGTAATCCTAGTGAAAGTTGTTGTACTGTGAGTGTTACTTGTGTTTGGAGTTTAGGGTATATTCTTATTCCGTTATGCTGCAATCCATCAATGTCAAAAGTTTTACCTTAAAGTTTTTAAAAGTTCTTGTTTTTGTGGTTTAGGTTTATTTAACTTTGTTCAGTTAAGTCTTAAAGTTGAATTAATTGTAGTTATAGTGTGTTGCACATATATCTAACAGAAAGAATTTAACCACATGCACACATGCAGACACACACTTATATAAAAAAATTGTTTCCGTCGTCAAATAAAACTTATACTCCCTCCGTTCACTTTTACTTGACACGTTTTGACTTTTCACGCCTCTTAAGAAATGATAAATGAAGTGCATAATTTATCATGATACTCATATTAATTGATGCATATTTTATTGGATTTAAAAAAATGATTTGAAATGAGTAATAAATATTGTGGGTATAACTGGAAAAAAAAATTGTCATTCTCTTAAAGTGACAAGTAAAAATGAAAATCTATTTTTAGTATATAAGCCAAGTAAAAGTGATCGGAGGGAGTAGAATTTAAATGTTAGATCTAATGATTGCAACAAAAACTAAGATTTTATTTATTGACCTGATAATTAAAAAGATAGGTAGTATTAAAGAAATTAATTATACTTATAGTGTGTGACAACTTGGTAGTATCTAACACATCCATTTCCGACTTGGTTATATCTCCTTCAACTTTCATGACCCACCACATTGAGAGCCAACTAAAATAACAAAAACATAATTCAAACTGAGAGGAACATTGTATTTGCTGAGGCTTTTCGCAAGCAATACACGTAGCGTAAAGAATAAAGCTTCACCTAAAACTGAGATAGGAGGCTTACTGTCATTCTCTATTGTAGCACGGGTTCCAATACCAGGCCTTAGAATAGCAAGTTCCAGAATATCATCCCACTTCCCTTGTGGATGCTTTGGGTTCTTTAGCATTACAGTATAAGCACAAAGACCTTCAAGTCTCCTTTTAGCAATGGCTTTCTCGGCTTAGTAGAATCTCAAGTTTGAATTGTAGATACTAGAAACATAGAAAGGCATAGGTTCATCCTGACCCCAAAATGCCTCCCATAAGCCCTGATAGGAACAAACCCTATTTACTGTAAGAGAAAGAAAAGAAAGAAGACAAAAAAAAGTAGAAGAAGACAAAGAGAAAAAGCAAGAATGAAAATAAAGAAAATGGGAGAATAAAGGAAAAGCCAAAGTTGGTGGGCTGCAAATGTGAAAGAAAGAATTCGGAGCGTAATTTGTGGTGCCAACCTGTCGCGTAATCGCATTCGCTGAAAACTTTTTTTTTCGGCAGACGCTCTGCCTATAAATAGGCATTATCTTTTTTAGTTGTAGATCATCACACAAATTCTTCTTTCTCTCTCAATATCAATAAAACTATTCTTTATGTGGCCGTGAAGTAGACAAAAATAGCTGAACCATATAAATCTTATCTTATCACGTGTTGTGTAATTTATTGCTTTTCTCTTTAAATATGTTTTTCCCTTTCTATTAGCCTGACACGCTTCCCAACAACTGGTATCAAAACACAGACAGTGTAATTCTGGTAGAAAAGTACGGTATTGGTGCAAATACTATTCACAATAATAGTGCGACACTATTGATCATCAATACTAACATTATTCACAATAGTGAAGTATTATTCATTAATAGTGATAGTATTGTACACCAATAGTGAGTGTTGTCTACCTTATACAGTTGATACATTTTTCCTATACAGAGTATTATTCGTGGTTACTATTTGCGGTTATAAAAGAAATATATATATATATATAATAGTGAGTGTTGTCCACCTTATACAGTTGATACATATTGTGAAGAAATGACGTCAGAAGAAGGGAAGGTTAAGATTGACAAGTTCAATGGCAAAGAGGAAGAGGACAATCCAAGAATTGCAAAGATAATCTCCCCTTCAAACCCATACTACAATAAAAAAAGTACTATTCTCTAGTGTGACGCCTTCACATTATCAGTTTTGAAGGCCAACTGAGGCGGTGCACAGCCTCAGTTTGTCAACACCGACAAATTTGGTTAACATATCTGACGGATTCTTTGATCCTAGTATCTTCTGTAGGGAAAGAGTTCCTTCACTTATCAACTCTCGGATATGATGATACCTCATCTGGATATGCTTCGATCTTGCATGAAACACTGGATTCTTGGTAAGATGAATTGCACTCTGTCTATCGCTAAAAAGCTCACAATTGTCCTACTCTTTACTAGCTCTTTAAGAAGATTCTTGAGCCAAATCATCTCTTTTCCAGCTTTTGATATTGCCATGTACTCTACTTCAGTGGTAGATAGAACAACACTTTTCTGAAGTTTGGACATCCAGCTAACAACAGTACCACCCAAGGTGAACACGTAGCCTGTGGTACTTTTTCGACTATCCAGATCGCCGCCTAAATTTGCATCAGCAAAACCTTGAAAGATAATATTGCTCCTTTTAAAACAAAGTGTCATACCTGAGATGCCTTTGAGATATCGCAATATCTATTTTACACCTTCCCAATGCTCCTTTCCAGTATCTGACTTGTATCTACTGACAACTCCAACTGCATGGGCTATGTCAGGTCTAGTGCAAACCATAGCATACATCAAACTTCCTACTGCTGAAGCATATGGAACTTTAGACACATACTTCCTTTCTTCATATCTTAGGTGATTGGTCCTTTTACAGATTAAGGTGGCTTCCGAGTGGAGTGCTTTTGGTCTTTGCATCATGAAGATCGAACCTACTAGTACCTTCTCTATGTACTTTTCTTGAGACAACTTTAAGGTTCCTTCAGACCTGTCTCTGCTCATTCTCATCCCAAGCATTTGCTTAGCTGGTCCTAAGTCTTTCATTTCGAACTCCTCCACCAGTTGTTGCTTAACCCTGGTTGATCTCATTTATGCTAGATCTTGCAATTAGCATATCATCAACGTACAACAATAAAATGATATAGGATTTGTCAAGATTTTTGATATAACAACAGTCCATCTCATATCGTTTGAAACCATTGTTATGCATGAATCCATCAAATTTCTTGTACCATTGTCGGGAAGTTTGTTTCAAAATGTACAAATTCTTCTTCAACTTACACACAAAGTTTTCTTTACTAGAAACTTGAAAATCTTCGGGTTGCTTCATGTAGATGTTTTCTTCAAGGTCACCATGCAAGAAAGCAATTTTAACATCTAGCTGCTCCAAATGCAAATTTTCTGCAGCTACAATACTTAGCACCAACCTGATAGTAGTTAATTTGACTACAAGAGAGAAGATCTCGGTATAGTCAATTCCTTCTTTTTGTTGAAAGCCTTTTACTACTAGTCATGCTTTATATCTCTTCTTACCGTCATGCTCTTCCTTAACCGTGTACATCCACTTGTTCTGCAATGCCTCCTTTCCGTTTGGTAACTCTGTAAGTATCCATATTTTATTCTTTCGAAGAGAATTCATCTCTTCTTTCATGGTTGGCTTCCACTTATCAGAGTTCATCACCTGCATTGCTTCAACAAAATGCTCTAATTCTCCAGCATCAGTCAGAAGTAAATAGTGGAGAGAAAGAGAGAGTTAACCTATCTGGAGCATTCATGACTCTTTTAGATCTCCTTAATATAGGTTCAGGATTAACTGATTTCGAAATTGATTCAAGTGCTGCCTCCAGATTTGGTTCTACATCTAATTCTGATCCAGATTCGGCTTCTCGTTCTTCATCTTTAATTTCAGAATCAGTTATAATCCCTAGCCACTTTATTTTCTGAGATTTCTTCTAATCAATTGTTTCAAATGCTTGTCTGCTGCTGCTGGTTGGTTCTACACCAAGCTTGTCCTTGTACATCACATTTTCATTGAATGTAGCATTCCTGTGTCTTAAGATCTTTCTATTATGATCATCCCAAAATCGATAACCGAAATTATCATCACCATAACCAATAAAGAAACATTTATTGGCTATAGGATCAAGCTTATCTCTATCATTAGAGTTTACATGCACATAAGCAACACAACCAAAGATTTTCATAGGTGAGAGAGTTACCTCCTTTCCTGTCCATATCTCCTCAGGAATTTCAAAATTTAGTGATACAGAGGGTCCCCTGTTTATGAGGTAAGTTGTCATGTGAACAGCCTCGGCCAAAAGATACTTCGGCAACCCAGAATGCATTCTCATACTTTTGGCTCGTTCACTCAGGATTCTGTTCATCCTCTCAGCAACGCCATTTTGTTCCAATGTTCCAGGAACTGTCTTAATCATTCTGATCCCATTCTCATATCCATTGTCAGACTTTAGACATTTTAACTTTAGGCTTGTCTGATTTTTAACTTCAGCTTTCCATCTTTTAAAGGTAACAAACACATCAGATTTATTTTTCAGAAAATAAACTCATACCTTTCTCGTGGAATCATCAATGAAGGTGACATAATAGCATGAGCCTCCCAAAGAAGTTACAAGAGCTGGTCCCCACACCTCTGTATGCATTAGTTCCAACTTCTCTTTCTTTGGCGTCCTTCCCGCCTTTGAGAAGCTAACTCTCTTTTGTTTCCCGTAAATGCAATCTTCGCATAAACCTAGTTCAACATGCTTGAGGTTAGGTAACTTTTCGTTGGATGCCAACAACTTCATTTCCTTCTCACTCATATGCCCGACCCTTCGATGCCACAATATTGTGTCACGCCATGGTCAATTGTTGCTATAGTATCTCTCTGTATTGCGGTTGTATACAGTGTTCCTTTCTTGAAGCCTCGTGCCACAACCAAATTTCTTTTGTTTATCTTCCACGATCTGTTACAAAATACTGTTGTGTATCCTTCACTATCAATCTAACCCATGGATATCAGATTTTACTTGAGGCCAGGAACATGTCGGACATTTTGATATTTTCATAGCGTGCCTTATGAAGTCTTTATATGGACTTCACCTTTCTTGACAATATCTAAAGGTTCGCCGTCTGCTAGATAAAGCTTCCTAAATTTTCCAGCAATATAATTATGCAATAATTCTTTGCATGAGGTAGAGTGAAAGGATGCATCTGAGTCCAGAATCCAAGATTCGACTGGACTATCTGCATACAAAATTAGTACATCACCAACTTGTTCAGCAATTACATTTGCTGAATTTTCATCTTTCTTCTTCTTTGGTTCTCTATACTGACTACTGTAGTGACCCTTTTTATCGGAATTCCAACAAGTAATGCCTTTGCGATTTTTGGATTGCCCCTTTCTCCTTGACTTTGATCTGTCACGACCATGACTTTGACCTCTTTGGTTGTTTCTTCCCCTGCTTTCGGTATTAAAAAGCAGATCCTAGGGAATCACTTGATTCTCTCCGGTGAATATTCATTTAAAACTGTCTATGATATCATCCAATTTGAGTTTGGTCCTTCCCGATGAACTGCTAACTGCAATTACTCTTGCGGACCAACTCTATGGTAGAGATGATAGTAGAAGCAACGCCCTAACTTCGTCATCAAATGTTATATTAACAGAACTCAACTGAGTTAATATTACATTAAACTCATTGATATGTTCCGTGATAGATCCACCTTCTGTCATCTTTAGGTTGAAAAGTCTACACATCAAATAGACTTTATTTGAAGCAGATGGCTTCTCGTACATATTTGATAACGCCTTCATCAGGCCTGCAATGATCTTCTTGTTAATGATATTAAACGCTACATTTCGTGTCAGCGTCAAACGAATCACGCCAAAAGCTTGGTGATCTAATAGATCCCAATTCGCTTTGGCCATATTCTCTGGTTTTACCTCGGTCAGAGGTAACTGTAATTTTTCTGGTACAAATAATCCTCTATTTGCATTTTCCAGAATCCAAAATCTTTGCCATTAAACTTGTCAATCTTTAACTTTTCCTTCTTCCGATGCTATTTCTTCACCAAAAAAATATTTTTTATGTGAATAGTAACCGCGAATAGTACTCTGTGTAGGAAAATGTCTCAACCGTATAAAGTAGACAATACTCACTATTGGTGATCAGTACTATCATTATTAATGAATAATACTTCACTATTGTGAATAGTGTTAATATTGATGATCAATAGTGTCGCACTATTATTGTGAATAGTACTTGCACCAATACCGTACTTTTCTACGAAAATTACATTGTCTGTGCTCTAATACCAGTTGGTGGGATGCGTGTCAGGCTAATAGAAAGGAAAAATATATTTAAAGAGAAAAGCAATAAATTGTACAAGACAAGAAAATACAAGATTTACATGGTTCGGCAATTTTTGCCTACTCCACGGCCGTACAGAGAATAGCTTTATTGATATTGAGAGAGAGAAGAATTTGTGTGATGATCTACAACTGAACAAGAGAATACCTATTTATAGGCAGAGCGTCTATTTTCAGCGAATGTGAATACGTGGCAGGATAACACCGCAAACTACGCGCCAAATTCATTCTTTCACATTTGCAGCCCACCAACTTTTCCTTTTCCTTTCTTCCCTCGTTTTCTTTCTTTTCATTCTTGCTTTTTCTCTTTGTCTTCTTCTACTTCTTTTAGTCTTCTTTTGTTTCTTTCTTTTACAAATAATAGGGTTTGTTCCGATCAAACCCTTCACACTTGCATGAAGAAAATCTTCAAGGGCAAGATAAGCAGTTGCTTCCACAGCGCCAGAAGCCGAATCATAGATTGCACTAGGGATTCGAACCAGCTGCTGAAATGGAACTCCTTCCAAAGCATAATCAAACTTTTGAAGATCTACTAATTCAAAAGGAGCATCAAAAGGAGGTTCCTCTGAATTCTTGGCTAACTCTCCATACCATGTCTTAAGGTTCTCAACCAAGCTTTCGCTATCTACAAACCTACGGAGAAATTCTTCACGTTCTTGGACCCTGCCACCTGAGGATATACTGGACTTCTTTGTCCTAGATTCCACAGATTCTCGATCTGGGGATTCACTTGTCAATGTTAGTACAGATAATTAGAAGCTGATTGTTAGGTGTGTTTCTAGGATTTTACTGATGATAATCTTTCTACAATACTTAAATAGAAAACATTGCAGACACAACATATAAGTTCACAAAGTCTGCAAACCACAACCCCGTAAGAAGGGATCAATGGTGTTATTAGAAGTCATCATTTTGCCGCTTCAAGCAACGGAGCTATGCAGCACGGAGGGTTATCGCCTAGTGGGGGAAGACATGCACTTCAAACAAGCACAAATGTCAGACAATAAGGAGCGAGCGAGAAGTGAAGGATTTTTGGAATCTAACTTCCCAAGATGGAAAAGAAAAGAGGAAAATAATATGGCCTTTTGCTATTTGACTACTACATCCAACACCTTTATAAACTCCCTAGAAGCTTCTGCTTTACGATATTTATAAAATCCTTCAGAAACCCTTACACACAGTGAGGGTAATTATATGACTCAACAATTCTAATAACCAGTTTAACACTATTTTTTCTTTGACAATACAACCATTGCATTTTGTTTGACCTACATCTTATTTTTGTCGGTATCAAATGGATAGCCACTTCACCAAAATGGCAAATTTAACATCCTCAAAAAGTCAAACTAACAATTAATATTACTATTTTATTTTACTTCGAATTTGGAGTGCATAACATCTTTATACTCTTTTTCACATCATTTTACTATATCTCTCACATACTCAAGTATAACTATCCCATTCAAACTTGTTTCACTTAATCACTGTGAGCAAACAACAACAACAACAACAACAACCCAGTATAATCCCACTTTGGGGTCTGGGGAGGGTAGTGTGTACGCAGACCTTACCCCTACCCTAGGGTAGAGAGACTGTTTCCACTGTGAGCAAACTAGGAGCAAAACAAAATGAAGTACTAAGTATAATAGCAGCTCGTATTTCTACAGAAAGAACGACAGTTCCAAAATATCAGTATCCATGTCCACGTCAAATGCAAACTACATTAAACATGAGATAATACGTTAAGAAAAACATTTTGGTGGGTATCAAACTTTTTCTATCTTATTTATCCTTAAAATCAAGCAGAATGACACAGGTTTAAAAGAATGATAATAGTTTTGCAGCCTCTCACTTTTAGATTTATAAAGAGACCCAGATAATATTTTCAGCATCTGACAAAAAAATTCAAGAGATATCATCTCTTTAACTAATATAACCAAAGGCACCATTGATTGACAACAATGCACCTAGTGCTCTAAATGGATGCTTTCATAATTTATATTGTACACACTCCTTGCTCAACTTTCAATAAGACGGCAAGAAGGTCTGGTGGTTATGAGTGCAAGAGATGTTATTGCACAAAGAGAAAACATGAACTGTTATCAATTATTCATTCATCAAAGAATAAGTCAAAAGCAGAACAACAGTATAGGAAGAGGACAGTTGGGCTAAAGTGACTTTACGAGCGATGCTATTAAAAGTGAAAAGTGCAAAATGACAAGAGGGCCAATGATTTAAATTACATCAAAAAGCAACTAAAATTATTAATTCCAGCATCAACTATATATTATCGATAATATTCATCAAACAACTCATATTAAACATCATTAGAATGTAATTTCAGCATGACCATGCAAAGATAACTTCAATCATAAAATTGATTTTTATTTTCAAGTCAATCAACAACAAATATAATTTGTTGCATTCAATTGCATGCTTAATTGCTGTAGAAATTGTACTAAGAGAGTAGAAAGAGGAGCAAAAGAGAGCTCAAAATTAGAATAAGAGGATTTGTATACTACAAGAAGAAGAACATACATTGTATGCAGGGGAGAGGGTAAATCAAAATCTGCAACGAAATAGAATTAGTAGAAGGAGAGGCATTACAAATTCGAGAAGAAGACGACCACAATGAAGAGTAATAAGGAGGAGTCATGGGAAACTAAAGCTCGAATCCCAATAAAGACAAAAAAAGCTAGGTGATTTCTTTTCATTTGTCCAAAATTTTGGTAAACATAATTACTCGGTACCTTTGCTAATAAAAGGTAGCAGGTAGCCGATGCAATAGCCAAAGGCATGCAAGCTGGCCTGAAAACCTTAGTTATCAAAAACACCCCCAAAAAAAGAGTAATAGAGAGGAGCCTAGTATTCAAATGGCAAAAGCCTAATCTTTTCTGCCCTTTCTATTTTTTTTTTCAAAACCAGATGTAATGGTGAAACATGACCAGTGAGGTTTCATATAGCTGACCCCAACTTGTTTGGAACTGAGGCTAGTTATTGTTGTAGCCAGATTTAATGGTGGCATTTGTAATGGGAAGTTTTCGAAATCTTTCAAAAAGGAAGTGTTCAAAAACGTGCTTGTTTAAGTTCCTGCAAGAAACTTTTGCAAAAATTTATACCAAAAATTTGTTTTTAGAAAAAATAAAACAAAAGTGGTCTTAGGGTGTTCTTTAAAGAATAGCCCAAAAACACGCAGTAATTCTAAAAAAAGAGTACAACTACCAAACATACTTTCTTTCTGCACAAACTTTTCTTACAAAAGGAAATTTCAAAAGAAACATTTCCCAAAAGTTGTCCACGAATCTTCAAAAACTTCCTTTATAATCACTTTCTACATCTCATTATCTGAGCATGAACCTCTCAAAAGCACATCGCTTCAGCCGAGAGGAGATAACACTTTGCTTAGCGTTGCTCTGTCATTTTAAGCAACAAACTGATGACTTTTAATAATGCGGCTAGGGAAACTTAAAAGGTCTGGCCTAGTCCAAAGGGAATCTCATAATTGAAAGGATTCTATTCCTTAAGCATGAAACAAACCCCACCAAAATTTGTAATCGTTATTCTTTTACTTGATTATAGTCTCTAAATTTTTATTCAGCTTTCTCTAGGTATACCATTTCTATATGGCAAAACGCAGGAATGTCATTCTTTTATAGCTCTTTTGAGCATGATAGCAAGAATTTAGCAAAAGATTATAATTGTTGACTGTTACTAATAAAGCTTAGTATTGCTCGGACTCTCCGAAAATGTGGTTGGATACGTGTCGGATCCTCCAAAAGTAGTGCATTTTTGAAGGATCCGACACGGGTGCGGCTACATTTTGGAGAGTCCGCGCAAGATAGCTCATACATAGGTCCAGTGTTTGCCAAGAGTTTATTTGGAGAAATGCATGTTAGCAAAAATTGCAAAAACCCTCTAGAGATAAAAAAAAAAAAAAAAAAAAAAAAAAAAAAAAAAAACTAGTTTGTCCTTAGAAACAAATCATTGAGCGATTGAACTGAAATGGATCCAAGCACAGCACAATGGATATTGAGGATCCATATAACAAACCAAATGAGTTTAGAATTAAAGCATTGTTGTTATTACTGGCAGCATGCAAGAAGGGTAAAGCGAAGAATGAATATGATTAAAGAAGGCCAGTTTTGCCTTCCCTGATTTATGTAAATCCATATTTACTGGATCCAATTCCTCCAACATTATAAATCTAACCAAAACATCATGTAGATTCTGCTACTATTTGATAATTTTTCCCTAATATATGCAAGAAGGCCTTTCTCCTCTATGTAAGCCTTAGTGAATAGAATTACTTAGTACATGTTGCTGGTTACCGTAAAATTAGTCGAGGTGTGCGCAAACTGACCTAACACCATGGTTATAATATATTTATATATATGCAAGAAGGAAAGCCATATAGTTCGGCAAGACCCAGAAAGCTAAAATCAAAGAATTCAAAAGATATCACTAAATTACAAGAGCTCACCAACCATACACCATAAAAAGAAAAAAGGGATCTGTACACAAATAGCCGATCGAAGCTGGTAAAACACTGAGTATTTAAGGCTATATACATATTATACATGGATTATATATATATATATCAAATTTCCGCCCGCTATTTTTTGTGTGTAAGTGGTTGGGTGGGAGGCTATTTAGGCTAATTCTCCCTATTCATTTCAGATATTAACTTATATTCCTTTCTCACAAAAACCTACATTCAGTCAAGACATCACTAAAAGATACAAGAGATCAGCAACCATTAACCATAAAAACGGAATCAAAAAAAAAAGAAGGGAAATTATCTTTTATTCCTTTCCCAAATGAAGTCCGCTTTCAGTCCAAACACAGTAAGCCAAAGTCACAGAGTATACAGAAAATAAAAGGGTTTCACATAGAGAAAAGATTAATACCTTCCATTATGGAGAAAGGAATGAAAATTGAAGTGAAATGCTCTTCTTCAGATCATCAGACATGGCACGTTACCTGCGAAGAAGCCTTCAACCAATCCTTCCATTTTCCAATTCTCTCTCTCCCAAACACACGCGCCGCGCGCGCGCGCACACTCTGTCTTATGTCATTTGTAACAGATATGTTTGTTTAATTTAAGATGCTTTTCTGTAATTTTCATTTTTCTCTTTTACTTTGTAAAGTTGGTTCTTTGTAGGGTGTCATTGGTTCGGGTGGACCGGTTATTTTATAAAATTTATAATATACTAATTTTTAGTTATTCTATTATATATAATCATAATTAGATTTTTCGGAATCGTCTCAATTTTGTTGGTTTCTCTTTGATATCGGTATTGTTCGATTAATTTTTGGTATTTTTTAAATGTCATGTAAAAGTCACTTGTAGAAGTAAAATGCAATAACATACATACTTTTATATGACTTCGTAAAACTCTTTAGATATTTTTATTGTTTAACGGGTGATGAATTAAGAAAGCGTGAAAGATGATCACAATGTAAATCCATCAACCATTTTACAGCAGCGCAAAAAAAAAATTTGGCAAAGACAAAGAAAATATAAATTACATGAGTGGAAAGATATTAACCAAGCTAAAACTCAAGAATAAAGCTTACAAAAGATTAAATATTCAAAACAATAAATCTAAATCATACGAAAGAAAACATATTCAATACGTAGTTTGCTACTTAGAACAATTAGAATACCTTGTGTCTTGCTGAAAATAATTTATTTCAATATGAGAAGCATAATAGGTTTGAGAATTAGGATTTAAAATTAATTATTCATTGGCTTGTAACCATTTTATAATTCAAAAGCCCAAGAAAAAATTTAATGCTTTATTATTTTTAAACTTAATATATAAATATATTTTTCACATGTAAATTTATTCGGTACGATTCGATATTTTTTTGATTTATTTTCATAAAATAAAAAATGTATCCTGATTATTGATACGGTTATAGATTTATATAAAAATTTATGATTTTATTAAAGAAACTTGAAAATTGGTTTGGCATTTTTTGATATTTTTCTTCTTTTTTAAAAAAAAAGATGAAATTTGTCTCTCTATTGTTCGAAAAAGTTTAAATCTACCATTCATTTTGTTAGTTGTATAAAAATGACCCCAATATTATCTAAAGATTCAAAAATATGCCTGTCACTAACAACTGTTCGATTGAAAAAGTTAATACTTAAGGGTGTGTTTGGTATAACGGAAAATATTTTTCGTGAAAAATATTTTTCAAGAAAATATTTTATTGGAAAAAGTAGTAATCTTATTTATTTTTCGGTGTTTGGTACACAAATTAAGAAAAATAACTTCTCAAGAGTATTCATAAATAATTTAGATACAATAAACATGAAGCCATAAACTTTCGAACCAACAACCTTCCGAACCCACAAATTTCATAAACTTCCGAACCGCTAAACTTTTCGAAACTGCGAACTTTCGAACCCGTAAACTTTATAATTTCTAAACCTGTAAACTTCCAAACACATAAACCTCTGTACTGATAACTTTGAAACTAGCAGAATTTCGAACTTGTAAACTGAAAGATGAAAAAATTAAAACTGAAAATATATTTAAAATTGAAAATATATTTTACAATTAGTATTACATTATAGTTGAACATGATTCTTTTTCGAGTGTATTTCTAATGAGGTAATAAGAGGACACTACTTAATGTGTGCATGGAAAAATTGTTCTAGTATTTATTATTTTTGTTGTCCCAATTTACATATCATACTTTACTTTTGATATGTTCCAAAAGAATTAGCATACGTCTTTGTCTAGAAACATTTAGCTATAAACTTCTTACGCTACCTTTAATGAAACATTTGTAATATCTATAATTTAATTTAGATTACAAATTTCAAAAGTATAATTTTTTTCTTAAACTCCATACTAGTCGAGCCATCTCTACATAAATAGGGGCACAGGGAGTATCCAATGTTTTCAATATAACTTGATACAACAAGGACTATATTTGTCAAGTTGAATATTGAGGACCAAACTAAAGCAAAACTCAATACATTAAGGACCGTTTTGGATCATTATTGCCTGAAGAAAATATAAATATCAAATTAAAGTGCAATGCGTGAAAAGTTTAGATTACATATTTTCAAATTGGAAAAAATGGAGAAGTATATATAGTCTTTGGGCAAAAACACAGACAAAAAAAAAAAAAACGAGATCACTCTGATTTTTCTGAAAGTGACAATTACATACACTTCAAAGGGCTCTGTACTTCTTCACTTTGTCATGGGTGCAGGTCAGAATTCCCTTTATATATTCAAATAACTCATTTAATTGCTTCGTTCATGGAGTTTATTTCCATTATATTGCCAAATTTTATGCAAAGTTTGATCATAATTTGTATGAAATATTTAGTGTACATATACAAAAAAAAAGACGACAATTCGACACATGGGTTTTGGTTTCTTTACGTACATATTCATTTATTTGTATATTTATTAGATACTGATATGGAGAATTATTGATTTGAGTATTCGGCCGAGGAGCCGAGGAGCAGGAAGTTGATATTGAGAAACAGTATTACGATTCAAAAGGTGTTTTTTTGTAAAACGTATGTTTGTGGTTGTGTAAATCAATAAGCTATGACATACTGATATTGATGACGTAAGATGAGCTTAAGCGGAGAAACATAAGAATTCTTATAGCTGACTCCAACTTGTTTGGTACTACAGTATAGTTGTTGTTGTTGTAATCAGCTAGTACATCCCAAAATTAGTTGGGTTTCTCTATATGAATAATGAATAATTTAATGTTTGATATGCTATTTTGAGACATAGATCAGTGGTTTCAGGAAACCAAACTTTTATGTGTAATTTACAAGCTTATATTCGTTATGTACAGACTGTACTTCATCAAACGGCCCAATGTTGTCCATTGAGTCATTGGCTGGCTATCCGTCTTAAGAGGCACATCATCACGAATCGATCAACGGATAGCCAAAAGCCTATTTCTGATGAATCCGTTGGTCCATTGAGTCATTGGCTGGCTATCTTCCTTCTTTTGTTTTACCAGTTTCTAGGGAATGGTGCAGGTATCACCCTTTGTGCACTGCTTGCTGGTTTCTCTTTATTGGAGTTCTGTGGCACAAGAGGTGCCCCCTATTCTGCAGCTTATTCACTCACCTTAGCCTTACCCTTTTCATCCTGACCTTATTCAACCACCACTTCAGTAAGTTCTGCTGGTTCATCTACCTCTAGTGGAACTGGAGTGGCTGGCGTAGTCTCTTTACTGGCTTGTCAACTTCCTGCTCTTTGTCTAAATCTCTCCCATTCCGGAGACTCACTGCCGTCAGCTGATTCGTGTTTTGTTCCTTCGGGTTAATGTTTGTGTCTGCTGGCAATGTTCCCTGGGGGGGGGGGTTGTTTAAAGACATAAATAGCTGCCCCAACTGAGTTTCAATGATCTTTATAGCTGAATCATGCACTGTCAACTTTTCCTGCATCTTACTATTTGTCCCAATGAGTTGCTGAAGCATACTTCTTATCTCTACCATGTTATTATCTTGCTGTTGGGGAGGTGGCTGATATGTCAACTGTTGCTGGTGGTTCTGCTGTGGATAACTCTGCTGTCTCTGGTATGGCACCATTTGGCCTTGGGGTTGCATACCTCCAGGCTGTTGCATGTTTGGCCTGTATTGCTGATTTGGTGTCGGTCTCCACTGTTGTTCTCTTTGTCTCTGATCCCCAAAGTTGCTAACATAATTCATATCTTCTCTTACCCCTTGATTGTCACCTTCTCCACTCCATGAGCACACATAAGACTGATTAACACAGGGTGTACATAGTCCTCCATTTGTCGTGTCAACAATATGCACCTGTTTTGTACTCATCTCATCAATCTTCTTTGTCAATATACTCATCTGAGTCAGGAGTGTGGCCATGTTCTCTGCATGCGAATTATTTGGGTCAAGAGGAACGGAATGCACTATGGGAGCTAGTGTTGTACCTCTAGTCATCCACCCCGAATTTTGGGACATCTTGTCAAGAAGGACTTTGCATTCGGTGAATGTCTTACTCAAAAATGCACCCCCAGCTAAAGCATCCACATTGTCCTTTAGATTGTACGCTAACCCAATGTAGAACCTCTGACCGAGCATCTGGTCCGGAATACCATGGTGAGGACACTTCATTAGCATCCCTTTGAATCTTTCCCAAGTTTCCTGTAAGGTCTTAGTCGGCTGCTGCTTGTACTGCAATATTTCATCAATCTACATTGCAGTCTTGTTGGGCGGGTAGAACTTATTCAGGAACTGCTTGACTAATTCCTCCCGGGTGACAATGGAATTGATTGGGAGCTAATTCAGCCAAGTTTGAGCTTCCCCAGTCACAGAGAACGGGAACAGTAACAGCTTGATAGCTTCTGGGGTCACATTCGGCTACATTTGGGTCACAAAAATCAACAGAAAATTTTTCAAGTGTTGTTGAGGGTCTTCAATGTGTGACCCGGAGAACAATCCCTTATTCTGCAGAAGATACAATATGTTGTTAGTGATCTGGAATGTCTCTGCTTGGATTGGGGGTACAGCTATGGCAGTAGCCAGGTTGTCAGCTGTAGGTTATGCTCAATCATAAAGTGCAGCTTCTGGCACAAGAGGTGCCACTACTCTAACGTTTGGGGGAGCTGGCGCATCCCCGACGTTTCCGTTGACGTTTTCTACGTCACCCATGTCAAATTCGAGCTGGTGTGGTTGTTGTGATTGTTGGATCCTCTTGTTGGCATGGTTCAATGCCCTGAATGTTTTCTCGGGGTCTGAGAGTCCTTCTAGCAGTTCTCCAGTCCTCGAAGAGTTTCTAGGCATACACCTGAATTCCACAAGAGTTCTAACATGAGAATTTCAATGAAAAGACTGTTTAACACCTTCGAAAATGGATTTAAACTAATAATTCTAACACTACTTCTTGTCACACTTCCTTTTTCCTACACCCGAAAGGCATAAGGGAGTTTTTTTCAATTTAAGTGACAATCGAAACGAGATTATTTTATTTAAAATTCAAAGTCACCACTTGGGATAATTTATGATGTCCCAAGTCACCGGTTTAATCCCGAATCAAGGAAAGATTGACTCTGTTTTACAGTCCACGAACACAAAAATCCGGGTAAGGAATTCTGTGTTAGGCATTCCCGAGTTCCGTGGTTTTAGTACGGTCGCTCAACTATTAATATTGGCCTATTTATTTGATTTTCAAACATCTTTGAAACCTATGTGCATTTTATTCCTTTTAAAATCGCTTTTAATAATCCAATTGTTATACAACTAATTATTGATTACACATTTGCGAATCATGTCACGGAAACCGTACCCACGATCCACAACATGTTTATTTTATTAACAAGATTAAATTGTGGCCGAGTCACATAAATGTACCCCGAATTTAGAAATTAGGCATCACAACTACGTCACGGGAACCATACTCGTAGCTATGATAATTATTTAATAATCACGCCCACATTAAACCAATGAATTAGAGGAGCTAGCAATTCCAAATGAAATTTAAGCAATTCGTTTTTATAATATCGTTAACTCATAACCAAGACAATTACTAGCACTAAACAAACTCATGAAATCCATGTCTTAAAATGGAATATAGTACTACTGATTATCAGCGTTTAGATTTGTTGGTTGATAACAAGCTGTGTAGAGAAGGATTAACAAGGTGAGGATTAATTACATTAAGGAATGCAACCTTCCAACCATGCCAAACTACATTTCAATTTCGCAAAAACAAATGCCAACCCACCAGTAAAGCACCAAACCAAGAATCTTAAAAAAAATTGTTTCCTGCTATGTATTTGCTGAAATGGAACATTTTTTTAGAGCCAAATAAACCTCAGCAGATTCTTTCTTACTAGTAATCACAAAAGCAAAATAGCAGTGAAAATGGAGTAATAGCACCAATTGCTTGATTAAACGATACAGGAAGATATCTCAATAAAGTATCACCACAAACCAGCAGAGAAAACAAAATAACACTCAAACCAAGCATCTCATTCAAACTAGCATACTTGCTGAACATAGGATCAAACAATCCAAACCCAAACAACAGTAACATCTAAAGAGAAGCAGTCATGATTCACATTAACCCAAATTTGGAAAATATAGACATAAGGAAACATACCCACTTATGATACAATGAATTGCAGAAGAAAGTATAAGTCAAATAAAGGCCCAGATCGGCAAGCTGAAGCTCAAACGAATCTGAACAACGAGCCTCCGACGAGAGCTTAGCCTAACATACCCCCGAACTCGAACCGAAATTACCACGAACCACAAATGCAAGCACACAGAGAAACTTCGATTCAAAATTCCAACACAAGCTTACTCGCAAAGCTTGAACCAGCGAATTTGGTTCGGCAAAAATTCAAACACAGAGCTAAATAATCAGATCTTCAGATGCAAAATTTGGAACGCAAAAGTCGTCTTATAATGAGAAATTTCATTTCAGAATTCAATTAATACAGCAACTTAGTCGAGCGAGATTCCAGTCTAAAATCTGAACGAGAGGACGATAGCAAATCGGACTCGGAACCACGAACCTCATCGTCGAACAAACACTGCTGAACCACGATACAACAACAGAGCTTCAAACAAAATCCATGAGTGAAAATCGAAGGCCGAAACTATTTAATTTTTACTCTCTGTATGTGTGTGTCTTCAGCGTCAGAATTGAGAGGGAATGGAGGATTTCGCCGGATTTCCGCGGAGCTTGGTGGTCGACTGGTTTTGTTGAAGACCTATGAAATCAAAGAGGTCTGTTTTCGTTCAAGAACCAGGAGAATGGAGCACCATTTTCTTTAAGAGGTGAGGGGATTTTGTGTCTGATTTCTTATTCTTCGAATGGAATAGGCTCATTGTTTTCTTTTGAGCAGAAGAAGGAGTCCAAGAGCTAACAGGGGAAGTTGAGATGGGCCGTTTGGTATATGGAAAGGGGGAAAATATGATCTTCCTCCCTTGCTTAGGTCTAGGTCTAGGGTTATTTAAGGGCGAGGGGTTATTTTAGGTTTTTAAAATCTGATGGGCTAAGGTATTGGGCTTTAAAACTTAGGCCTTTATAACCAAATTTGCTTAAAATTGGCTAAATTAACCAAGAATTTATCCACCCTACATCAACTCTTGTTTATAAAATAAAATAAAAAGATAAAAATACTATCAAAGTATTAATTAGTCCTACTTAAGTAGAAATAACCATTAAAATAAAACTAACCATTAAAACAAACTTATTTTTTGTAATTTTTATTTTCTCGTAATAAAATAAAGTAAAAGAGTAAAAATTAGTTGCAATAGCTATATTAGTCCTAAACTAAATATTTACGTGCTAAAATATGAAAAATCTTGGGGAGGGTCAAAAATCACATGTCTACAACTGCCCCTCTTTGACTGGAAACGCGAAGAGTTTTCGGACAAAGAACGATTAGACAGGTTTTTTGACCCGACCCTTATTTAAGGAGACCAAAACTAAGAGAAAAGGGGAATATGACCGAGCACTGGTATCTGAGCTGCGTACATATCCTTGCCTATAAAGAAATCAGGCTACGTGTAATTCAGAGGAGAGTGAGATGATAGAGTACACCGAGGTGGAGAGCCGGTCGAGGTGTTGTTCCATCGAGGTTCCGGTACGCGGTCCTAATGTTACATCAAAAATCAAAACATGAAAAAAAACTAGCTAAGCCTATCAACTACGAGTTACAAGATTCCTATTTATAAGTCTTCTGAAGCTTGATCTTGGGTCTTAAGTGGTTCTTCATGCAGACTTTGGGTTTGAACCTTAGACGCTTGCTAGTTGCAGGTTCTAGTTCATTCTTCTTCAACTTTTCGGATCAAAGCCGGACATACCATGCTTGTGACTTATGTCATGTCTTGAGCAGCTCACATCTTTCATCAACTTCTGCATGTGGATTCACTTCTTGCCTTTCTTCTACTTCTTTCTTTTTAATTCTGGATTGTGACTAACTTCCGTTGATCATCTCGGACTGTTGACTCGCATTCTTGCCGCGAGCTTCTTTCGTTTCTGACTTGAATTGCATTCTGAAGTGAGTTCTCTTATTCTCCAGGTAGGCTCCTCATTGCTGAACACTTGCACTGCTTCTCTTTGAAACTTGAACTGCTTCCCTTTGTTCTCCAGGTGGGCTCCTAATTGCTAAACTCCTTTGAATGTTGCTGCCTTCCCTTTGTTCTCTAGGTGGGCGCCTGATTTCCAACAATTGTACTACTTGTCCTTAAAACTTGAACAGTTTTCCCTTTGTTCTCTAGGTGGGCTCTTGATTGCTGAACTTGAACTACTTCCTCTTGAGACTGTTTTTCCTTTGAACTGTTTTCCCTTGCTCTCCAGGGGGTTTCCTGATTGCCGAACTTGATCCGCTTTCCTTTGAACTTGTGCCGTCCTCCCTTTGTTCTCTAGGTGGATGCCTGATTTCATCAAAACAAACAAAACAAACAAAATTTTCTGCCCCAGTTTGCACTAGGAAGATTTGTGAGTTGTTAGCAATATTATAAACCACTTATACTATTGATGCAATGATGAGAGTAAACTAATGACTAGACCAGGATGTGCGTCTCCTATGAGTAAAACCAAAAACTTTGACTAGCAAATGCGTCTGCTAAAAATAAAACCTGAATGAACCAACTAGGAAGTGCGTCTCCTACGGGTAAAACTTGTATGAACCAAAACCAAGAAGTGCGTCTCCTAGGGGTGAACTCTCAATTTAGGAAGTGCGTCTCCTAAAACAAAATATAACTCAAAAGGCCCTGACTAAGAAGTGTGTCTCCCAATAGGTAGAACTTACTAGGAAGTGCGTCTCCTACGAATGAACTCTCAATTTAGGAAGTGTGTCTCCTATGGGTGAAACTCAATTTAATAAATGCGTCTCCTAGTGGTAAAATATCAATTTAGGAAGTGCGTCTCCTGAAAGTGTATCTTGAAAGACCCCGACTAGGAAGTGTGTCTCCTAAGGGTGAAACTCAATTTAGGAAATGCGTCTCCTAAAACAAAATATAGTCTGAAAGACCTAGACTAGGAAGTGTGTCTCCCATGGGTGAAACTTCAATGACTCAAACTAGGAACTGCGTCTCCTATGAATGAACTCTCACTTTAGGAATTACGTCTCCTATGGGCGAAACTTCAATGGCTCAAACTAGGAAGTGCGTTTCCTATAAATGGACTCTCAATTTAGGAAGTGCATTTCCTATAGGTGTATCCGGAAAGACTCAGACTAGGAAGTGCATCTCCTATGGGTATAACTTTAATGCTTAGAACCAGGAATTGCGTCTCTTAGAGGAAAGCTCAATGAAGGAAGTGTGTCTCCTAAAATAAAAATATAACCTGAGAAACCCAGACTAGGAAGTGCGTCTCCTAAGGGTGAAACTTTAATGGCTCGAACTAGGAAGTGCGTCTCCTATGAATGAATTTAAATGACCAAAGCTAGGAAGTGCGTCTCCTATGAATGAATTTAAATGACCAAAGCTAGGAAGTGCGTCTCCTAACATGTATAAACTGAAAGATCCCTACTAGGAAGTGCGTCTCCTGACGGGTAAAATTTCAATGACTCCAACTAGGACATGCGTCTCCTAGGGGTGAACTTAAATGCCCAAGACTAGGAAGTGCGTCTCCTAGAGGTGAAAACTTCAGTGACTAAAACTCATATGATCCGAACTAGGAAGTGCGTCTCCTAAGGGTAAAATCTCAATTTAGGAAGTGCATCTCCTACAACAAAATATAACTTGAAAACCTAGACTAGGAAATGTTTTTCCTAGTGGTGATGTGTGATCTTCTCAATAGCCTTTGCGTAAGCAGAATTGGGGCATTACACCTGAAAATTTCAACCTTCCAAGCTTTGATATGAACATAGCTTCCGTCCCTGTGTCAGACAAAGAAAACTTGTGAGTTTAAACATGGTGGTTGGTTTGTAGCCTTGACTTTGCGGCGATTGCTCCTTCACTTGCCATGATAACTTTGATTTCACCTTGAAAAACATTGCTTGCTTATTGACTAACCAATTTCTCTGTCGCCCTTATCACAGAAAATACCTCTTCTCCATTCAGACCCAATACTCTTTATCTGTTGCATTGCTCATGAACTGACATTTACCAAATCTTTGTATTTCACATGAATCCCAAAGCACGTTAATTGCTACCCACTCAGTACGTATGCTGTTCTTTCTTGACTTAAACTACTGGCCTTGGCCTTGAAGTCTATTGCTCTTTCACTTGCCATGATAACTTTGATTTCCGCTTGGAAGACCTTGCTTGTCGTTGGTTAACCACTTTCTCTGTCAACCTTATCACAGAGAATACCTTTGATCCGTTCACCTAACATCCTCTATCTGTTGCATTGTTCATGAATTGATATATACCAAACCTTTGTATTTCACATGAATCCCAAAGCATGCTGATTGTTAACAACTCAGTGCGCACGTTGTTCTTTCCTGACTTATGCCACTTTGATGTGCTAGCCAAATTCCGTTTTGTACAATTGGAAAGTTGGTAGCAAATTTTGAAGTCATTTCTCACTTGTTTTGATCAAATAGACTCAGGAAGAGGAAGTAAAAAAAATCAAAGGAACAGAGTAAAGGACAATGGAAAGAGATGATTCCTAATAAGAAAACTACAAAGTAGAAACTTATCAGATGTGGATACCAACTCTAATGACCATGACATGCACCTGTGGATTAATGGCCTAATCTGTCAAGCATGTATGCTCAACTCTTATTGTACCTCTTCGCCGTGAAATTGGGCTTCAATGCTCCAATTTTTCAATCTGATTCACGATCCTTACTCGACTTGTAGTGCCCAAAGGGTTTTCACCATCAAGCCTCTCTCATTTTGTTCTTTCTCTCAACTTATTGGTGCCTTATGGTGCCTGTGAAGGTTTTCACCGATAAGACTCTCTCATTTTGTTTTCCTTGTGTAGCACAGAGTGCTGCCCCCGGTGCGGATCATACCTCTGTCTCACTTGACTTGGCATTCTCAAGTATTGGTTAGAAGGTCTTTCTTTGGATCGTAATGTAGGCTTTTGGATAGGGTTAGAAAGAAAGGATATCAAAAGGCTCAAAACAACTTGAATGGGTTCAAAATTACAACTCTTGGAATCAGATTTCTTACAACAATCACAACTTTCTGCCCCAGTTTCTTTGCTTGGGGACTTTTGAATTTTTATTTTGATAGGACCGAACCGTGAGGTTGCCTACGTATCCTTAAAAGGAATCAGGTCGAACGTAGTTCATGACATAGGAATTGCTTCGTTTTTGTACTTTTCTCTTTTTTTTCTTTTTCTCTTTTTCCTTTTCTTTTCTTTTCTTTACTCTTTTTCCATTTTTTCTTTCTCTGTTTCTCTTCTTTTTTTTTTCTCTACCTTTTTCTGTATCATATTTCTAAACTCTGCTTCTGATTCCAAAAGAGGGATATAAAAGAAAATAAATAAGGCTCAAAGGGGTGACAAAGGATAAAGTGTTTAGATAGCAGAATAAAA